TTGATTGATTGAATAATTAACTAATTGATTGATTTATTGAATGATTGGATGGATAACTGAATGATTGACTGATTGATAATTGATTGATTGACTGATTAATTGATTGAATGGGTTGATTCAGTGATAAAATAAAAAAATTGATAGACTGAATAATTGATTGATTGGACCTGGAAATTTCCCTTTTACCAATGATTAAAAGAAAGATCTTTAAATACAAACAAAATTAAAAAGCTTCTTCCCAATTTCGTTGTTGACCAATATTCTGTGACAGCTGCAAAGGATACGATACCTGTAGCACTTACAGTAATGCACATGTAACTAGGAAATAAACGGCAAGTATTTATATAAATTGCAAACAAACGTTTACGTCAAGTAATCAGAGAATTTTTGCCTCAATCAGCATGAAGTAATTTGTCACCAAATGTTTGGAATTGGAATTTGGAAATGTTGGTTTTTTGGGAGTGAGGGAAACCGGAGTACCCGGAGAAAAACCCTCAGGACAAGGTGAGAACCAACAACAGACTCACATATGGCACATTAGTGAGAGGTGAGCCCTCTCCCACTGTGACATCTCTGCTAGCGGTAATATCTCATATACCTTAGCTTTAAATATCTACAATTCATCGCCGTGAACGTTCTTGGTCATCCAAGGCTTGCTTTTATCCACTTTCCTTGATCCACAGTCCTCAGTCCTATACTATTACTTGCTCTTTGATCCTTGGTCCTGGGTCCTAGGTCCTCCATCCTGGCTCAACGGTCCTTTATCCCGTGCTCTATGTGTGTCTGTAGCAGCATGCCTGCAAATCCAATATGTAACTAGTAAGTATTTTGTACACTTGCATAAAAACGATTTGATAGTATTTTGAACCAAGGTGGCTTGATCAGATTTTTGAGTAANAATGCTGTTGGCGTGATTTCCAAATCTCCTAAATAAAGTTTCTAGTTTCATTCGAACCTCCTGTAAGCGACCACCCAAAATGTCAAACCTTGATGGTTACTTATCGGAGGTAGTCATTTACGAGAGCTTAGACCATATTGGGTCCAAATTTTGCCTCATTAGCATTTTTTCTTCACATTTTTAATGCTTTTGCGCGCACACACACACACACACACACACACACACACACACACACACACACACACACACACACAAATCAAACTTTAGTCTGAGTGCACAACCATTATTATCCAGCCAAATGGGTCAGGCTTTGAGCTGCAGTCATGCCAAGTTTGACACCACCAAACATACATGTTAACTGCACATGTAACTCCAACAGCATTACACCAAATGTACCTTAAGGTTGTGTTCTATTAGGATTGACCATTTCAACTGCAACCAGTTTGGGCTGATACAGTTGATGTTTCTCAATAGATCACTTTTCCAACTGTTCTCAGTTGAAATGCAGTAATTCCTAGCAATACATGTAGTCCTTAAGCGAGCTACAATCATGCAAAATAATCACACAATAGAACACGAAAAATCCAAACAACCAGAATTGTTTGATCCCAATAGCACATGACCTAAGTCTTGGTGCAGTGTTTCAGCCAGAAAATTTTACTTAAGGACCAAAGTGGCCCCTGAAGACCTTTTTTAGGGGCTAATTATTTAGGAAAGGGGCCAATAAACGAGTCTCGCAGCAGCATTTTAATTGCCAACCTCAGCCCCCAAACTTCTACTCCTCTGACATGAACCTTGCCACTTTGCCCATGTCACAATTGTGAATTATTCATGAAGTAAAACATCTATAGATTCATCACAGTTAGGTATAATTATAAACCACTGGTTAATNGCCAGAAAATTTTACTTAAGGACCAAAGTGGCCCCTGAAGACCTTTTTTAGGGGCTAATTATTTAGGAAAGGGGCCAATAAACGAGTCTCGCAGCAGCATTTTAATTGCCAACCTCAGCCCCCAAACTTCTACTCCTCTGACATGAACCTTGCCACTTTGCCCATGTCACAATTGTGAATTATTCATGAAGTATAACATCTATAGATTCATCACAGTTAGGTATAATTATAAACCACTGGTTAATTGGAGACCCACAGTACGGTAAAATAATTTGCAATGTGAGCTTACAGCGAGCAATTACGGATTCAAATGGCAGTTTTTTCTGTGGGAAATCACTCAGTTTGCTAACCAAAGGACTTTAGTGGCCATTGTATCTATTCATGTAAACTTTTTTCGTGTCAAAGTAGTCTGTGGATCCACTCAGCTAAGGCAAACAGCTGCCTTAAAATGTTATGAGAACCCTGAATTTCAGAAAGAAAAAAACAAGAGGTCTACAGAAGTTCAAAGCTTGCACTTGAAAAATAAAGATATGCAAATCACTTGCAGTCCCTTTGTGATAAATCAAAATTTTTGTGCCTTCTTTCATTTTTTAGCACCCCTAGTGTTATCTATGAGGATCTTCCAAGGGATTGGAGCTTTCTTTTGTGCATTTGAACTAAAAAAAGATTACTCTTCAATATTTCTGTTCAAAACGGCAAGCAATTTGAATTTCCCGCGGTTGGGCCAGCACGGAGCTAGTGCAACGCACTTGGAGTTTAATCATTTCAACCAAGTTAAATGCTTACTTAAGCAATAACAAGTGAGAAAGACCGAT